TCAGCTCACTAGGTTTTGGAGCAAAGCCACTAAAAAGATAAAAACACCCTGATAGACTGAATGCATATGAGCAACAGAAAGCCAAAGAGAGAAGAGCTTCTTAACTCGCTGAGACTGTATTGGCATGTTCATTTTCTGCACTGCACTGCCAAAACACAGGCATGATAACAGAACAATGTGATAAAATTAATCTCTTTCATCCACTTTCTAAGATTCTCCTCCACTCAATAATTCTTTTCCTCCCTTTCTTATCTCCCCTCGCCCTCTCCCTCTCTCCCTCATATCTTCAGCTCGGTGAGAGGCTGAAAGTTGAGGATTCTGGTTACAGAGGGCATGTGAAGAGAGGGGAGAAAAAAGGGAGAGAACGAAATGAGAGCATCTGCTTTCATCCTCAACACAGCGGGGAAAAGCTCAGCCATGTCAATCACACAGACAGCCAGCTGCCACACACACACACACACACACACACACACACACGTCCAAGTTCTCCCACATGAAATGAGGGAATGAAAGTGCACACGCACACATGCGCGCACACACACACAAACACACATTAAGGTGGTCTCAGCTTGCAGCTGTGTTTATTTATTCTGCTGGATGCTGGCCACTGGAGTTTAAGGCCCCCACCCCAAAAACACACACACACACACACAAAACCAGCCACTTCATAACAAATACCCCTCAAGAGCACCAAATCCTACCAGCCCCTACAACACCCACTGCCTATCACAAAACATACCCGACTCACAGACATTAGAGCATTTGCTACTGGACTTTGGTTTTCCTATTAAAATTAAACTATACTAATAATTACTATGTTTTTTTTCTGGTAATAATACAAATAATAATGATAATAACAATACATATAAAACAAAGTATTACTAATTACAATATACAAATTTTCAACATTACAGTACATATGTTGCTGATATGTTTCTTTAACTACACATTTTCATAGTCAGTAATGGATAGTTTTAATTACTCTAATCTTATAAGTAACATTTTTAACAAACCACAGTAATGATTGTCAGTCTATTTTGAGTCAGACATTATAACTATTATATATAACAGTTCAATCGGTCAACAAGCAAGTGAATAGCTAAGACTGATTCAGTCAGTAAGCAAACTGAACAATTCAATCAAGATTTAGACAGATGATGCCTGAATTAAATTTTTTATGACTCACGTGAGTATATACACACACACACACATATATATATATTATGCGTCTAATTATAAAAAAGGCTGTATTTATTTAAATAAAAATGACTTTAATATAATATAAAATATTATAATATATATTAAAATTTATTCCTGTGATGCCAAAGTTGATACATATTTTTCAAGGTTCCTTAATTTAGAGGCAGTTCAAAATAACAGCATTTATTGAAATAGAAATGTAGCAATATTATTACATTTGCAAGTAAGTATGTATGTGTGTGTTTGTGTGGCCCAGGAAAATTGTGGGGACCAAATGTTCACATTTTTTGGTCCTAATGAGGAAAACGGATTAGAAATCACACTAAATTAATTTTTTTTTTTTTTTTTGAAAGTGTAAAAATGTACAATGATTTCCTTAGGTTTAGGGGACAGAATTTACAGTTTGTACAAATCATTATTTTTATGGAAAGTCCCCACAACATATTAAAACCCAAAGATTGTGTGTGTGCTACAAAATGAGAAAGTCCTATTGGTCGAATAGTTCCAGCTGGTTTCCCAGTCTCCTCTGAAAACAATCTTTTTGGAAAATCCTATGCAGTCTTCACACAAAGCATTACGGCCATGAAATAAGAGTCTCTCGCAGTGACGGGTCATTGCAGGTATAGTTGGTCACAGAGCTAATGAGTGATTTGATTGGCCGTCGGGTTCTCATAAAGACCAGCATGATTCATCTCCAAGCTCTCTTTAGTACGCGATTGGTCGGCGGTGCGGATGGATGCGTGAGGTGAGTACGAGGACAAATTCATTTTGTTGCTGGAGAAAAAGCGATCTGAGGTGAAATCATCTAAAACATAACAAAAACATCAGCAACCTCTAAGACCCCGTTGAGAGTTTCGCACTATCAGCTCAGCCTGTGTGTTTTCACAGGAATCTTTGAACTTCACTTCATTTGCGCCCTGATTTAATGTATGTTTTTAGTGGAGGCCCGAAAGTCTGAATTCCATAAAACTATAAAGCTTCAAGTTTCAAACAGCTTATTAAGTCATACAAACAGCGAACCAATTAAAACTGTGCATGGGTTCAAGAGTTTACACAAACATACAGTGTTGTTCTCCCACTGCCTCGACGACATGGAGTCGTATCTGTACGCTTGTAACTAAAAAGCACAGACATGCATAGAAAAGGCTTTGATCTCACATAACCTACCGTTCAAAAGTTTGAGCTGTTATTAATGTTTTTGAAAGAAGTATTTTATGCTCAGCAAGGCTGCATTTATTTGATCAAAAATACAGTAAAAACAGTAATACTCTGAAATATTATTATAATTTAATCATTAGCTGTTCTCTATTTTAATGTATATTAAAATATTATTTATTCCTGTGAATAGAATTTTTAGCAGCCATTACGTCAGTCTTCAGTGTCACATGATCCTCTAGAAAGCATTCTAATATTATTATTTGGTGCATAATTATTTATTAAGATAAAAACAGTTTTACATTTATAAAAAAAAGTAATACAGTTTTTTCAGGATTCAACAGAAAGTTCAAAAGAACAGGAAACATTTGAAATGTCTTTACTGTAACTTTTGATCGATTTAATGCATTATTGCTAAATAGTACTGCATACACATGAGTTACAATGCTATACAAGTTAAAACAGTAATAGTGACTGATGGCACTTGGCTGGAATAGCGTGTGGAGGAATCGTGGAGTTGAGGCCTTCAAGAGGTGCAGGACAGAAATCAACAGTGCGAACAAAAGATGATTGACACACTGTCTGTCTGGAAAAATGTAAACCTATGGATCAGACAAAGGATTTTTTACATTTTTGTACTTTGCCTGGAGGTAAAATACATGGACTGTTTCTGTAGCGAACCGCACTGATCTACTCCATCTCCACACACACGCACAACTCTCACAAATATACACACGCTCACAGCTTTGGTCCCATTTCCCGAAATCTGCCCCAGTCCTGAGCCACATAAACCTGGCTGCATGATTCAGCCGCCTGGAATACCAGCGTTCCCACAGGAAACCTGGAGCAGCTTACACATGCATGCACACACTCATACACACACACACACACACACACACAAACAAACCTAAAGCTCCCAATCTGGCAAAAACCTAAAGGAACACAGGTCTCTCTAATCCAGGATAAACACGACAGCACGGCTGTGCACTCAGAGGGTAATTACAAGCAAATTGAAAAGAAAGTGCAAGGTCAAAATACACATATTACATATGGCAGACCAAACTGAATATATAGTTATAAATAGTTCTTGTAATAGTTGTAAATGAGAACATAGAATTTTATCCTCAGGCAAACTGATGAACAAACTTGTTTCTATATTTCATTTAAACAGTAGGCATGCTTTTATCATTACTTAAATTTTGTAAGATATATACAAAATTCCTTGACAGCTGTGCAAATCATAGTCTCCAAAACTCTCACAGCTTGAATTTTAAATGTTTTTGAAAGACGACTCTTTGGCTCACCAGTAAAACTGCAATATTGTGAAATATTATTACAATTTAAAATAACTGGTTTTGAATTCAATATATTTTTAAATGTAATTTATTCCTGTGATGGCAAAGCTGAATTTTCAAATCTTCAGTGTCACATGATCCTTCAGAAATCATGATAATATGATTGAGAAACATTTATTTTCACAATCCAATATCAATTAAGTTGCTTTGGGATCCTTTTTGGACTTGATTTTATAGGTGAAACTAATTTTAGATGACAACAGCATAAACAGACAGCAATAGCAGAAGTGCAGTTGCAAATTGCTACTGCACTAGAGAGAAATAATCATTTGTCAATAGGATGCTGATGATTTCATGCACTGTTGCTCTCATTCTGGAGTTCAGTTTATCAGGAACTTTAGGATCTTCATCATAGCCAGCTGGCTGACACGTTGACATGTTTATGGAGCAATAACATGTGACCAATGGATCCCTTTCTTAAAAAAATAGCAACAGAAGATACCGGAATTGATGTACACTTTGTATCTATCATTACCACAAATAGTAATGCTTGCACAAACTAATAACTAAGAACGCATACACACCATTAAACAGGAATGCACATTGCATCAACAGTAACAAAAAAATAAACAGAACGAGAAAGAAATTATGCAATCCAGCAACCCCGATGCAATGAATTCTCATACGCAACTATGCTTTTTAAAGTAGGGTAAGTCAACAACAACAACAAAAAAACTACCTCATATTTTGAATAATTGTGTTGCAATGCAACTAATACAAAGCATGTGCACTGTTTTCATACAATATGGATAATTTTATGGAGATTTTCAGGGTTTATCAGATTTTACATATAGTCATCATTACTAATTATAATATGAATTAATAAAAACAAGAATTAAATGTATATAATAAAGATTATATATATATATA